TGTCTACAGTGGGAAACTTTTTCTACTCATTGTAGGCCCTCCGCGTGATTTAACCTCATCCTCCCCTTAAGGGGTTCTAAAGCATACATAAAGCCCCCCAATATGTGGAGGGGGCAGCAAGGCCAGGGAACAGGCCCCCGCTCACACAATGGATGCCTGAATAGGGCTTTTTGGGGTCAAGAGATCTGTGGTGTAATTTTTGCTGAAAATGCCAAAATAAACCAAATACATGCATAATTCAAAGTCTTTGGCTTGATATGTTAAAGCTAAGTCAGACAACAACGTTTATCTGTGGATCCGCCCCCCTGTTAATGTTTACGTAACTTAGGTTTCAAACTATGTCCACAGAATATCTAGCTGGTATTTTTTTATAGGGCCAACAAATTACTGCATTTCAGTATGCCGATCAGGCTAGATCAAATACATGGTGTGCTTGTACTGCCCTTTATGCTATTCACCTGGAGATAGATATAACTGTTTCAGAATTTCCTTAAAGGTACAATGGGTTATTTCAAAATTAGATGGTAGCTGGCTGACAGAGACAAGTTTGTTATCTGTAGGTTTATATGTACTGAGGTGAGAAAGATAATCTAAATTATTTGGGGAACTTTACCATTCTTTGTTTGGATAGTTTGCAGTTCTGCAAATTGTTTAAAGATAAAAATTTAAACATATATGTATCCATCTCCAGTGTGAGAAATTTTGGAGATCGCTTAACTAGTCCTCCTTTCTGCATGTCCAGATATGTGAAACCAGGGCTATTTTTCTAGAAAAATAGGTGCTGGAGCTCACTATGAATGTCTCCCTTGCCTCTTATAATGCCAATGGCACCCAGTTCCGGCTGAAAAAAAGCCCTGTGTAAACCAAATCTGCACCATCTACAATTTTAGTGACTAGAGAAGAATGGCATATATTGTCAGTTACAATCCAGAAAACTCATGCTAAAGTATGATCTCGATATGCTACATTATATGTGTGTCAACTATTATAAAAGAAGTAAAGGACCCCTGACAATTAAGTCCAGTCACGAACGACTCAGGGGTTGCGGCGCTCATCTCACTTACTGGCTGAGGGAGCCGCCGTTTGTCCGCAGACAGTTTTTCCGGGTCATGTGGCCAGCATGACTGAGCCGCTTCTGGTGAAATCAGAGCAGTGCACAGAAACGACATTTACCTTCCTGCCCAAGCAGTACCTATCTATCTACTTTGCTTTCGAACTGCTAGGTTGGCAGGAGCAGGGACTGAGCAACGGGAGCTCACCCTGTTGCGGGGATTTGAACCGCTGACCATTATATGTGTGTCAACTATTATAGGATACATGAAATGCTGTTGTAGGGGGTGGGATCCTCTCTCTCAGAAGACCCACACATCTAATCTCAAGCAAGCAGCAGCACTCTCTTCAATTTGTGCAGCGGAATCCAGTCCATTTCTATGCATGTTCTATTGGCTTTATTGTGTTTTCCTCTAAAGTAAGTGTACATCAAATTCAGTGCTAAGGTTCTTCTTTACATGCACATGAACTGGGAGCTTTTTAAATATTTAGGTGAGCTGGAACAGGTTGTGCACTGTGCATTCATTTACCCAACTGTTGCTAGGCTGATTTACAGACTCCTGCTCCAGCTGCTTACATAGAAGGCAGCCACTGAGTTGGGAGTACCCCGCAAGACGAACGCCTCGGAAGACGAAAAACTCACTAGACGAAGGAGTTTTTCGTTTTCTTAGCCGCTTCGCAAGACGCATTTCCCTATGGGCTTGCTTCGCAAAACGAAGCTTGCCCGCAAGCTCCGGGGATAGCGGGGAAGCGCGCGCGCCTTCCCCTCTGTCCCCGGACCCCTTTTGAACCAAGGGGCGGCAACGGGGAGAAGCAATCTTCTGCCCGCCGCCCCTTGCTTTAAAACAGGTCCGGGGACAGAGGGGAAGGCGCGTGGCGCTTCCCCTCTGTCCCCAGACGGTCTCCATAGGAACGCATTGATTTATTTTCAATGCATTCCTATGGGAAACCGTGCTTCGCAAGACGAAAAACTCGCAAGAAGAAAAAACTTGCGGAACGAATTAATTTCATCTTGCGAGGCACCACTGTATGAAGTAGCTCCACAGCAAGAGGTGGCTGCTCAGACCTTGATTCATCTTAAGAGTCTGTAAAGAGGGAGGGCCAAGTGCAAATGGTGACATGGTGTCTAGGAAACTGCTGCTAGAGAAAACAAGGGTGGTATTTGAGGCTGGCAAAGAAATATGAACTAGCTCTTCTCCCAAAGCATTTCCACATGGCTCAGAAATTTCTGGAAACAGGTACAAGTGTTTGTGCTAGAGGTGTTCACAGCAGCCACAATTTGTTGCAATTTTTGCAGTGACTGTAACTGAAACCACGGGTGATTCCTCATCATCTATAAATCCATTTGGAGACAGACGCATAAATAGTTACCCTTCAGCATGCAACAGTGTACAGAACTGGAACAAATGTTTCACGACTGTTGCTCTAATAGGATTATTTGAGTTGATCAAATTTCCAGTACAGTCATACCTCGGGTTACAGAGGCTTCAGGTTGTGTGTTTTCGGGTACCAGAACGGGTTACTTCTGTGTTTTGGTGCTCACGCATGTGCAGAAGCGCCAAATCATGACCCACGCATGCACAGGCATGGCGCTGCGGGTTGCGAACACTGTGGGTTGTGAACGTGCCTCCTGCACAGATCATGTTCGCAACCCGAGCATCCACTGTATCTGCCGTCAAGTAATCATGGGAGGAGGAGAACAATCGTATCTGCACATGGCTTTCTGCCCCAATTCCCCTCAGGTGTTTTTATTTTATTAGGGTTCATCCCAGACAGAGCAGTGTGATTACTTTTACTATTTGCTTCTCTTCCTGCATTGGCTGCCAACCTATTTACCCTCCTCACAATCCACTGTATCATTCATTAATATGCCTTCTTGTATTCTGAGCGCTCGGTATAAGCTACAACAACAGGTTCCTAAGAGCATGTGCAGAGTGCATTTCCATCACCACACCAATCCCCACTTCTAGGATTAGGATGCTAGCGCTCACATATCAAAAGTAGGTCTTCCTGGCATGCTTGAGCACATTCGTCTCATTTTAGAAATTAAGTACTACCATGCTCTTAGAAAGAAGAGATGTTTTATGAGTTGAGAAGAGCCAACATGACCTCAGTTGCTCCCACTTGAAATTAATATATATATATACTTAGCCACTGGGCACCTCCTGCCACTGAACTATGCCAGCCGATCAGTATAGGAACAATGGTCTAGAAACTGATGCCTGAGTTTTGAGTTGTATTTTCCCCTTCCCTCCATGTCCCCTTTCCTTTGTGTGTTGTTTTTTGTTTGTTTGTTTGTTTGTTTGTTTGTTTGTTTGAATATAGGCGTGCGTGTAGGGAGTGACTTGTTTTGATTTCATGTTAACCTGTTAGCTGCTCTGGGAGCCTTTTTGACTGTACAAGGTACAAATGCTCTAAATTAAGCAAATAAACAAATGGTAAAGGTAAAGGGACCCCTGACCATTAGGTCCAGTCGTGGCCGACTCTGGGGTTGTGGAGCTCCTCTTGCTTTACTGGCCGAGGGAGCCGGCGTACAGCTTCCGGGTCATGTGGCCAGCATGACTAAGCTGCTTCTGGTGAACCAGAGCAGCGCATAGAAACGCCATTTACCTTCCTGCCAGAGCAGTACTTGCACTTTTGAAGTGCTTTCGAACTGCTAGGTTGGCAGGAGCTGGGACCGAACAACGGGAGCTCACCCTGTCGCGGGGATTCGAACCGCCGACCTTCTGATCGGCAAGTCCTAGGCTCTGTGGTTTAGACCACAGCGCCACCTGCGTCCCTAAAACAAATGGTACAGGTACACATTGCACAGCTTTTGAATTGCACAGCTCTCAAAAGCTTACACACACATAAAGTGGCTGAGTTTTATATGATCTTCCACACACATTTTTATACTCTCAGTGATCAAGTCTTAGCAGCAAATGTCTATATCAGAAAATTAGTCAGTAAGGCTGCACACACGTTCCTGCGAGTATGCCCCATTGAATGCAACAATATTTATTTTTTAGTCATATGTACACTGTAGAATTTCTATTTGATCTTAATTCCACCCTTTACAAAAGCTGAGAGTGTTTTTTTTAAAAAAAAATACAGTGGTACCTCGGGTTAAGAACTTCGTTCCGGAGGTCCATTCTTAACCTGAAACTGTTCTTAATCTGAAGCACCACTTTACCACCGCCTCGCGATTTCTGTTCTCATCCTGAAGCAAAGTTCTTAACCTGAGGTACTATTTCTGGGTGAGTGGAGTCTGTAACCTGAAGTGTACCACTGTAATCAATATTTTTAAATCTAAATTATGTTTTTAAAATCCTAATGGGTTTAACTTTAAGACAAGCTTTTTTCCTTCAACAAAACCAGCACAGATCAAACAACAGAAATCTATCTAGCAATAGAAGAAAACCTAAGTTTCTGGGTCCTGGGGAAAGACCCTCCTCCGCCTGAGAAACTAGATAGCTGATGCCAATCAGAGTAGGCAGTTTCCAGATAGATGGATCCATGATGTGGCTCTATATAAGGCAGTACCATATGTTCACAGCCATTTTAAAATGCAAAATTCCTTTCTGACTTTAGGAATCAAGTTCACCTGCTAAAATAAGCTATGATGTTTAGATGTCTAGATACCTCTTTATTCTTCAGACTATACAGATTTCATTTATTTCTGCTACGTCTATTCAAAAGTCTGCATAGTCCCAAAATAGCCTGATGGACCATTAGATACTTTCAGTCTGCTTTCCTGCCAGAGACCAATATATTAAAGTTTAGCCTGGCTTAGAGGGGAGTGGACTCCCGTACCTTTAACAGAAGAGGGAATCTCAGCAAGAGTAGCAGCAGCACCTGTTGGAATCTCCTCTTCTGCACAACTAGCCCTGTCCAGTTTTGTATCTGGCCACTACGCTTTTCGTTTTCTGCATTTGGACAAGACTTCTATGTTTTGAATTAAGCCTTCTCACCTGTAATAGCTTCTTTGACTCTGCTCTTTAAGAACACCAGAATCCTCTTGGCTCTCATGGTACGCTTCCTGATCTTTAGTAAACAGTCTAGTCGAGCTTCTATTGGCTATGATAACAAAAAAAAAACATCCTCTTGAATTAATTTGTTCTTATCAGTTTATACTTTTAAAAACAAACTTTTTTGGGATAATCTGAACTTCTTGCCTTTGCTTCTCTCTCTCTCTCTCTCTCTCTCTCTCTCTCTCTCTCTCTCTCACACACACACACACACACACACACACAGTGTGTTCTTTGGATCCAGTCTCTGGAGTCTGACTTCACCCTGTTCTGAATTGCTGTCTTATTCTTTAAGATTTATAGATCTATATTTCAGTCTAAGTTGTTGTTAGTTTCCTTCTTAACAATCTCTGATCACGTAAGATATATGAGTAGTAGAACAACATTCTTTAGCTACATGCCGCTTGCCTCTATTGCTAAATAGGGTATTGAGGGGGTGGCAATGGGTGTTTAAGGAAGGTTAAAAGATCTGCCTTGGAATAGGGCTGCCTTAAGAAATGAAGGGGGCTTCTCGGATTATTTTTGATAAAAACAATAGCTGCATTTCATCCTACATCTTTCCAACATAATCAATGCATTTTTAAAAGAATTGTAGATAATCAACAAGTAGATAAAATAATGTGGGAGAGGCAAGCTCCTATTCTTCTGTAACCCATTTGGGGCAGGAGGTGAAGCACCACTACTTTCCATTCTGCTCTTTCTCAAAGAAGACGGGAGCCAAACACCTACTTCCCTATGATCTGGTTAAGATTTCTGCTCCCAGACTCAGGAATTCCCTCCCTGGAGAAGTTAGACTGGCTCCCTCCTTTTTGTTCCAACAGGCCTTTGGGAACTGACTGCTTTTAATTAAAGGGCTGGTGTTGTGCTGTTTTTATTGTAATTATTTCACAGAATCAAAGAATTCTCAAGTTGGAAGGGATCCTGAGGGTCATCTAGTCCAGCCCCCTGTAATGCAGGAATCTCAACGAAAGCATCCATGACAGATGGCCAGCCCACCTCTATAAGCAGATGATAGATGTATGGTTTAAACCAGGCATAGGCAAACTCCAGCCCTCCAGATGTTTTGGAACTACAATTCCCATCATCCCTAGCTAACAGGACCAGTGGTCAGGGATGATGGGAACTGTAGTCTCAAAACATCTGGAGGGCCGGAGTTTGCCTATGCCTGGTTTAAACAGATGGTTGATAGAGAGATAGATTTAATCCTATCCATGTTTAATTGGTTTTTAATGATTGCTTATTCTATATTTTAGCAATTCTTGTTTTTACCTGTAAGTTGCTTTGAGTCCCATGAGGGAATAAAAGTGGAACATAAATTTGCATAATGATACACTTTCATCCTGCCTTTACTCAGAAAGAAAACAAAATGAGAACAAAACAGTGGCATAATGTATGTAAATTTCAAAGCAGCAGAGGTTAAAATACTAAACCGACAGGCACCCACGCTCTTTGTGATGCGGTAGGAGACATCACCACTACCTATAAACATGATGATAAACCGTGGTCTTGCTAAGTGATAAATAGACAAGTACTGGGAAAACTCTAAAAATATATATATTTAAAAATTAGTTTTAGATTTATTTTAAATTTAAACTCCCTACTTATCTAGGCTGCAGAAGTAGGAGGCCACCGAAGGCTAGAAATCTTAAAGAACAGAGGCCCCAGAATTACAGTTGCGAAAGGAAATCCTGCCTTCGACACAGAATATTTTCCTGGACAAGGTGGGTGGTGGCTGACCAGATTCAGGCACTCCTGGAGCAAAATAATTTTCTAGAACCATTTTAATTAGGATTTCACCCCAGTTTAAGCATGGAGACTGTCTTGGTCATCCTATGCCAGGGGTCAGCAACCTTTTTCAGCCATGGGCCGGTCCACTGTCCCTCAGACCTTGTGGGGGGCCGGACTATATTGGGGGGGGGGAATGAACGAATTCCTATGCCCCACAAATAACCCAGAGATGCATTTTAAATCAAAGCACACATTCTGCTCATATAAAAACACCAGGCAGGCCCACAAATAACCCAGAGATGCATTTCAAATAAAAGGACACATTCTACTCATGTAAAAACATGCTGATTCCCGGACTGTCCGCGGGCCGGATTGAGAAGGCGATTGGGCCGGATCCAGCCCACGGCCTTAGGTTGCTTAGCTCTGCCCTATGCCCTGTATGTTCTCTATGTCAGGAGAGAGAGATGGGGAGTGTAGCTTGGACGTGACATATCAGAAAGAAAATATGGAACATTTATATGGAAATACAGAACTTCTGGGGGTCCATGCACTATTTACTTCTCCATCCTATAATGTTCATTCTAACCCTGAAGTCACTGAAAGCAAATATTGAATGAGACTCAAGGAAGACACAGTTCATTTAAATGAGAATTAATACAGTAGAATTGTTTGTTCAGCATTCCAGGGAATAGTCTGAAGTGGAAACTTTTTACAGTAAATGCACGGATTGTAGGGGCCTTGAAGCTGCAAGAATTCAAATTGTCCAAAGAATTACCAGAGAGATTTTATTTTTAACACACGCAGCGCAAGCATGAATGCTGGAATTAGCATCTTGCGCAGAGCTTAATCTTCACATTTTAAACTATCCAGTGAGAACTACCCCACTGGGCCTGTCAGCTAAACTCTTTCCCCTGTGAAGGGTTCTGCATGATGTGAATCATTATTATATGTGTTTTGTGTTGACTGCGGATATCTCAAGCTGTGAACAGGTGCTGGCAAAGTGGCTGTCGCAAATTTTCCTGTTACATTATAGTGCTTGCTTACATTTGATAGCCTCAGCGGTACCAGGATTACCAATAAACCAAGGATGCTTTGAGGAGGTCAGTTTTTTAAAGAAAACAGAGGAAAGGGAGGAAGTTTTCAGGATTGTTGAAAATGAAGGCAAAACATATCCCTGGCCATACCCAAGCATGCACATTTCTTCAGAGAAAAAGCTGTGTATACATGGATATGCTTCTTTTGAAATTCTTCATGTAAGCTGGTATCTGAGCAAAGCACTCCCCATTTTTAATTTAAAACAAATTTCTAATTTGTATTGTTGGGAAGTAATCCTAGAACACAAACCCTAGTCTTTAAAGTACCTCAGGTATTAACTTCAGTGCAATGCATACTAATCAATTCTTTCAGATTTTCTGTAATTCCCCCCACCCCGAGTAGAAAACCTTAATTAAAGAAAAGAACGTCGAATACCAGTTTCTTTGCATCTGAATCTGGACTTCTGGGTGGTGCTCTGGTGTCTAGTAAACAACTGCCGTGGTAGGAAGGCATTTCTCTTTGGGCATGCTATGTCCCCTTGAGAGAGGCTGAGGTGCTGGAGAGTTCTAGAAGGAATAATTTGCATTCCTCAGGGCTGATCGCTTAGAGACACTGATATTGCTTTGAGACAGAATTAGAAAACCTTGAGTGAGAGGGCAATGAGGCACAACTGCAAAGTCAGCCATCCGCTATATGCAGCACAGCAGTTGGCGTTCCTCCTCTTAGCGATTGGACACAGCCGCACCAGCCCCACGTCACACAAAGGAAAAACACATATCCCAAACTATAAGAGAGAAAAGAGTGCTTTCTTCTCACAGTTTGCTTTTCTATTTGCTTTTTATACACTTCTAACTAAATCTTTTCCTTCTTTTTTGTCTCACCCTCTCTGCTTTTAAGTATAAAATCACTTTCTTTGGGGCTACTTCTCTTATTCTTTTAACAATACATCAGTCTCAATTCTTAACAATTCAGTTTGTATCTGTAAATCACGGTCAGACTTCAATAGCCACTCTTCTGTTCCATGTCTCAGATTCATCCAGTTTATCAGAATGGGTGTTTTTCTCATTGTCTGTGATGCTGCAGAATAGCTCAATCTCAGGGCAAGAAATTCCTGCATTGCAGGGGGCTGGACTAGATGACCCTCATGTTGCTTTCCAACTCTACAGTTCTATGATTTTATGATAAGAAAGCCAACCCACGATGGAATTGTAATTCAGCTAGGTTCTCGCGTGGAATAACACAACTGCTGCAATGGAAAACATAGTTCTGAAAATCCAAGCTCTATCTTCAGAATAATGTGCTTTTAACAGAAACCAGCAGAAAAAAACTTTCTGCAGCATGGAAGTAAACATTACCACCTGCAGTTATTTGCAGAACAGGTTGCAATTAAAAGATGCAGGAGCAAGAGCTCATTAAAAAAGGTAAAGGTACCCCTGCCCGGTACGGGCCAGTCTTGACAGACTCTAGGGTTGTGCGCCCATCTCACTTAAGAGGCCGGGGGCCAGCGCTGTCCGGAGACACTTCCGGGTCACGTGGCCAGCGTGACATCGCTGCTCTGGCGAGCCAGAGCCGCACACGGAAACGCCGTTTACCTTCCCGCTAGTAAGCGGTCCCTATTTATCTACTTGCACCCAGGGGGTGCTTTCGAACTGCTAGGTTGGCAGGCGCTGGGACCGAACAACAGGAGCGCACCCCGCTGCGGGGATTTGGACCGCCGACCTTTCGATCGGCAAGCCCTAGGCGCTGAGGCTTTTACCCACAGCGCCACCCGCGTCCCCAAGAGCTCATTAGAATGTTTCATAATTACTTTTCCATGTAATGTCCTACTTTACAGAGGACAGCTCTCTGTCTGGAAGGCTGTCTCTCCTTGTGGGGAAATTAGAATTCCATTCTGGTAACAGTACAGCATAACCCCAACAAGGACCAACTGCTTGTGTGGAGGCACCCTCATAATCTAAGCCTATGTCATGTTTTCTCAGAAGGAAGCTTCATCATTGTCATCAATGGGGCTTATTCCCAGTTGGATGTGTACAGAATTGCAGCCTCACACAAACAGCTTTTGAGGATGTCAGATGCAAATATTTTCAAAATTCTCCATCAATGACTCATAGCAAAATCTTCATTTCCACTCAGAGTACGCTCAAGTGACCTCAGTGTGACTTACCAGTACTCCCAAATAAGTGTGTATGGGGTTGTAGCTTAAAACCCTTATTCAAAGCAACTAATTATTATTTATAAATATATGTATTGAAAGTAGCGTTCTAGCCAGTGTAAAAGTCCTTAAACAGTTCTGAACATCCCCTGTTTTGAAGGAAAGATGTTCAAGTCAGGCTTCTAGGTGACGTGGAAGTGCCTTGTCTGTTCTTGGGAGCACTTCATATTCTCCATTTTTGAGGACAAGAAGTACAGATGTTCAGTTTCCAGACTCTTCTAGTACAATAATAGTGTTTTGGGCATTTTTCAGCTTTCTACCTTCTGTGGAAATACTATAACAATTTTAACTCCAAAGCAAGTATGCAATGCTTCTAATAAGCAAAGTTCCTTTGCCCCAGTTCAGAGAGTTTAGCAGCAAGCCCTATGATGAAGTGAAGGAATCTATTGTCTAGGAGCAGAACATATAAAAAGCCAGCTGCTATGGAACACCCGAATCCTCAGCTGTTGCCTTTGCTTTCCATTACAAGTGAAGTTTGTCAAGTCACACTGCCAGGGATGACAGAGTGAAACAGTGATCATATTTAGTTATTTGCTGTGTTAAAAGCAGAAGAGAAACTCTGTTTCTGTAACACCTGGAAACAGATAAGCCTCTGTCACTGTTCACATTGGATGTCAGTGTTAAGCAGTTTCCCATGTCTTTTCCCAGTGCAAAGTGGAGCGCTAGCCAGCTTCCCAAATGCCACTCATTGCTCTGTTTCACGCCATCATAAGGGAAAGCATCTAAATCCGCAGCTGTTCCTTAAGCTTTAGATACTAAACAATTGGTGTGAATTCCTCAATGGTGTTCCACTTTATTTCAGGGGCTTTGAAAAGTACAAAGCACCTCTAAGCCAGGGCTTCTTAAAGTAGATCTTGGTGGAGCTCTCCAGTTCTGTGGTCAGCTCCTGTCCGCATGGTTAAAGTACTTAAACTTTGTCCTAGGCACCCAAGAAGTTAGTCACAGAAAATTGACTCTCCTACATGAAGTCTAGGGTTAGTTGGAAAAGGAAGGTAGGTCTTATTGTCCGGTAGTGTTTGCTGGCTGTTGCTGATTATGACGATTCAGCTTGGTATGTTGATTGAACTAGGCAGCTAGCAGTCCACAGCTTGTCTCTGCCTCCCATGCCAGTGCTTGAAACTTCAGCAGCAAATTGATATGTGCCTATTACTAGGTGTGAAAGCTAGGCAAGAAAAACTTTATGCTGATTTCTAACCCTCTGTTACCTGGCAGAACTGGGCTAGTTCACAGCCCTTCTCTTCCTGAAGATGAATTGGCTTCAGAGCAGCAGCAAAAAGAAACAGGCTGTACATAATTTGCTTGTTTTTAAGTTAACTTTTCCAGCTCCTGCTTTCTCTCCCCCCCCCCACCTCTCCACACAGCCTACTGACCCAATCCATGGATTGCACCTCCAATGTTTGCCCCTCCCCAGCCTCCTTGCACAGTCTCTTACACAGACACCACCATGTTCTCTTATTTTACTGAGATCTACATGTATATTATGCCTGTGTGCCTCACGTCCCACTGTTACTCCCCAGCACAGTCCACATGGCTATGTTAAGCGGAGCGCACATATGTAAGGTCGCAGAAACTTAAGGCACCATAAACAACATCAGTTGATTATAATTCCCTGGACACTTGAATCATTAATTATTTTTTCCAAATTGTTGCATATTGGGCTGGGAGTATCCTTGAACTGTCAATCTTAGTATTGGGGGTGGGGGGGCCAAACTACTGCATTCAGCAAAAAAGTACAGTATTCTGACTTGCTTGTCCCTTGACGGCACAGATTTGATGCATAAGCTTCTCCACAACAGTGATTTCCACAGCTGTGTTATGACAAGTCTGGCAGCAACTAACATCAATCTAATCCAATCCTTATGCCACCTTCACATGTTACTCACATACAGATGGCATGCGTGGTGAAATAGGCTGCAAAGCTCGCCATTTAGCCCTGGAGTTGTGCTGCTCTTCCTGCCCCCCCCCCCAGTTGCCATGCTGAGAATAACATCTGCAGCGTGTGGAGGCATCCCTTGTGATGTACAAATTTGGGACATCTTTTATAAAAACATCCAAATATTTTCTTATCCCGAGTTCTCAATTGTAAAATAAGAAAAACAGTGATCAGAGTTGGGTTGGGCAAACGTGTGTTTTTCCGCTTTCTATTTCTTTATAATATGAATAATAATGACACACTGGTTGTGTTATGAAGTCTTTCCTCACTTTAAGGCTTGCCTCGCCATCTGACTCTGTTTTTTAAAAAATCATGTTTGTCACTATGTTTCCCCCTCTTCTCCTTCTCCTTCTTCCTTTCACCTCTGCGTCATTTCCAAGATTGCTTCGAAACACCTCACTAAGTGAGCCATAAGTTATTGAACTATACATAATACTGAGGCTTGCACGTATCTCTCTACCTGTTGAACTGCTACCAGACTGTCTCGCTTGATAAGTGGCTCTCACATCCATGCGCACTGGCCTTTTAGCTATCATTCACTCTGGGGCACATGTTGCCCAATGTATGATACATGGTTGGGTGTATAAAGCTTTCTAAGAGAGAGGTTTAAGTTAAATGGGATCATTGGCTTAAATGCAACACAGTGTAGGCATGTTTAAGCCAATTGATTTAAAGGGGTTAAGCAAACTTACCTTTGTAGGATTTAGACTATTAATGGAAACTTCAGGGCCAGAGATGGCCATATACATTGAGTGAGGCACCACAAGTCACTCTTTCTCAGATAAACTGGGTGTTGTTCCATTTATAGACATGCTGTCAGAGCTGCCCCTGGTCCCAGCTCACAGAGGACCAACGCCAGTCCGTTGTTATATTAAATAGTTTTTATTGAAGTTCAGTTTCTCATTTACAGCCACGGCGCGCAGCTCTACGTCTTAAACCCTAGACCGCCGAAGCTCCGTCTGAGTCTCCTCCCCCCAGACACCAGTTTAAGACCCTAGCTTTGCTCCACCTCTTTCTCTGCTCCCTCTTCCTCTGGGTCCGCCTGTCCGCCGGGGTTTTCCCCTTTCTAGACTCTTCTGACGCTGACTCCCCCGAGTCTTCCCCCTCCCTCCGGCGGGCTTTAGGACCTGGTTCCCAATCCGGGCTTTCTGCTGTCCCGCGCGCCTGTACATTTGAACTTGGCGCGCGCGCCCAGCCTGCCACCTTCCTTCTGACCGTTATACTGCTCCTGTCGCTGCTTGCCGTAGGAGACGCTGACTCTGACCTATGGGGCTCTTCCCCCCCACTACGCTCTGGTGGGGAAGCTGGCCCTGATTTCCAGCTACTGCTTTGGGAGTCTCCGCTGGCCCCCTGCTTCTGGTGTGTCCCCCCTGGGACCCCCCTTGCCCTGGCCATCGGCGCC